TCTTCAGTAACAATCAACCACACCATTTTCATAACAATCAACCATCACCATCTTCAGTAACAATCAACCATCACCATCTTCAGTAACAATCAACCATCACCATCTTCAGCAACAATCAACCATCACCATCTTCAGTACCAATCATCACCATCATCAGTAACAATAAACAACCAACACCATCATCAGTAACAGTCAACCACAAACACCATCACCTAACAATCGACCACCACCACCACCATGGCTACTGGTAACCACTATTCCACTTCCTCGATACACCTTTTCTAATCTCCTTTCCTTGGCCGACCAACCGCAGATCCATATACCGTCTCCATGGTTAGAGAGGAGGAAGGGTGGAGAACAGAGGTTAGAAGAGGGGTGAATAGACGACGGAAGAGGGAGGAAAGACGAGGTGGGGAGACTAACGCTTCGTGTTGCATTTTTCAGTATTTTGATGATCTTGGAGAGGGTTGTATGATTTAATGAGTACTTCAGTGATGTGATTCGTATTCTGAGGGTGGCGATCGAAGACTGACGAGAGCCTTGGGCTGGACCCCTCCTCCCTGGCGTGTGAAGGTTCCTCACAGAGAAAACAAGACAATGATATGACATAAATACACACATCCTGTGTTATGATACTTCAACAATGACGCTTCTCACATCCCTCAACACTCAAAAGGTGTTGTGTTGTGTGATAGGCCAACCTGAAACAATAAGATTTTGCCGCCGAAGTGGCTAGTTTATTGTGCACCCCATATTCATCCTGTGGACAGTAGCGCAAGAGCATATGGATACACAAAACGCCTAGGAACTAGGCTTCAAAGGGGTTAACAGGAGTAGATCTGCATTTATATCTACAGATCACTTACCTGTTACAAGGAAATTTAGGAAATTTGCCATCTTGAAAGAGGAGTAAGTCCCACGTAAGTGACGAAATCTTTTCAAAGCTCCCGAAGGTGATGAACCTCACAAAGTAAAACTTGATATCCTCGTGGCCCTACTGACGTCTCCCAGCTCAGGCTGACAGATTTCGTAACTTGAATGTTTGAAACACATCTTGTGTGAGGCGACCTGGTCAAGGAATGGGGCCGCGGGGGCGCTGATCCCCGGAACACCCTCCAGGTAGACTCCTCCAGGTACGGGGGTAAGACAGAAGGGCTAATACAATCAGCTTTTGCTCCCACTGTGGAACTATTATATGACCCAAATTAGCACCATATTAATGGTGCATTTCTGTTTATAATAAAGGAAGAATTTGTTCCCTCTCGGTTTTGGCTACAAATACAGGCCTTCGTGCAGTAGATACGTTCCAAATCTAACCTAATGAAGGACTGATCATGTCAAGACTACTGATGCATCTGCTGTTACTGTTTCCGATGGTGTATTCGCTTGTACTGGACTGAAGAAGCCTGTTATGCAGGCGAAACGTTTCAACAATAAAAATGTCAAGTTGCTGCACAAGTGTAGGCCCATGCTGGCCAAGGTCTCAACTCTTCCGGTAAAAAAAAAACTCGCTGGCCTTTAAATCAATCGTATCCCTCAGCGGATACAAATGCAGGTGTATTGGGGAACTTGTGTTATAATAACGTTTCACTCTTGATAAAAGCCCTACACGGAGCGAAACGTTGCCACAGTAAAAGCTTGCTCCGCACACTCAGTGTATAGGGCCACCTCACACTACGAGTTTACCTAATTGTGGTTAATAACACAACTATCCTGGTTTATTTATTCGCCTCAGCCTTCCCTGAACAGCTTACTTCCTTCTCCTCCTCCGTCATGTGGACGTGTTAAGAGGACTTGTTAACGCCGGAAACGTCTTCTGAGGAGCGAAGCTGCATCCTGCTTTCTCCTACCACCATTCAGCCACACATCCCCCCCAAACTCCTCCTCCATGGTTGTGGTGCTAATTGTGGTAGTGATTTTCGTGGTTGCAATAGTTGTAGCTATGATTGACGTGGTGTTGCGATTCGCCTCCCCACTATTTCCCCTTCTGTTTCTTGTTTCTCATTTTCTCTCTCTCTCTCTTGTTCTAATCTCTTTCCTCATCCTTGGTCATGCCTTCGTGCCATTTTTACACACCTTTCATCACTGTCAACTGTCTACACCCTCGTTGCTTCCAACCCTGTTACCTTTTCCCCTCACGAAAACCCCCAGTCCCCCTCACCACCTTCCCAAAAACTGTGGGTCTGTCGTCAAAAGGTCCGCCATCAAGGAAACACATCTCGTAGCGACAAACTACGCTTCAAAGCTCATGGAAAGCGTGGCCGGGGGATGAGTGGGAGGGAGGGGGGAGAGGGGGAGGGAGGGGGGATGAGGGGGAGGGGAGGGGGAGAGGGGGGTTGCTGTTGGCCAAGTGACTCGGTACGAAAGACAAGACGGATATTGTGATAGGTTGGTATGGAGCAAATGATAGGCACTTGAAGAGGACTGTCACCATTCATACGTTCCCAGCGTGTTGCTTTACTTCCCTTTCCTACTATCTAGTATCCCGCCTTGTGACCACACAAAAGGCAACGTGGCAAGTCATCAGCGGCAAAAAAAATCGCCAATACAAAAAGAGTCCTTTAACCCACAAATGCACCATTAACAACCAATTTCCCAATTTCCCCCACCCTATAATCATAACCGCAACACCCCCACAACTACCCATCATCACCCAACAACTTCAGTCAGGTGAAATATGTTGGTAGAATTATGACATATGTTAGCCGTAAGCTTGATAAAGCTCCTGGAGAGCGAGACGTTGCCACATAAAATTTATATTAGTTGCACTTGTGTCCTTTTGCTTAACATACTTCAGTCATCACCACAACTACCTCAGTCATCACCACAACTACCTCAGTCATCACCACAACTACCTCAGTCATCACCACAACTACCTCAGTCATCACCACAATACCTCCATCCCTCACCACAACTACCTCAGTATCACCACAACTACTCGTCTCACGACAACTGCCTCAGTCATCACCACAACACCTCAATCATCCCACATACCTCAGCACACCACAACTACCTCCGTCATCACCACAACTACCTCTGTCAAGCAAATTAAGCTGATCCCTTTATTTCCCAGTATTATATGCAAGCAATTTGTATATCCTTGTTTAGACACGAACCTCGTAGCCTTTGTTGTGACTTCATAAATACAAAATTCAGTGATCCCCCCCTTCCTCCTTTCTATCCGCCTTGCCCCAACCTGGCCCCCACCCTCCTTACAAATTTTTTCCCCCCAAAACCCCCTTCAAACCAATACCCATTTAAAAACCCCTACAAAGGGCACCCCAAACTCCCCTTTTTCACACAAAAACCCCCTTTTAAAAATAATTTTTTAAAATTAGAACCTAAAAAAAAGTCCCCCAAGGGCTATTCCCAAATAAAAACCCAAAACCCCCAAAAAAAAACCCCCCCCCCAATATATCAACCCCAACACCTTTCCACAATCCCCAAAAAAATCACATCCCACAAACCTTTCAACACCCCAACTACCTCGTCATCACCACAATACCAATATCCCCAAAATCCCATATCCCACCCCACACCCACATCAACAAAACCCAGACCCAAATACCTCGTCAAACAACACCTCAAATTCCCCCAAAAAAAACCACCCCCAAATTTTTTTCCCTTTTTAAAAATTTTTCCCAAAAAAACCCAAAAAAAAATAAATATCCCCAAAATTGGGGAACCCAATTTAACCAAAAAAGAAACCGTTACAAACCTTCCCCCCAAAAAACCTCTAAAAAAAAAAACAACAAAAAATTGAAAAATAAAATTAAAAATTTGATCAAAATAAAAAATAAATATAACAAAAAAAAACCCCCTTTTTAAAAATTTTTTGGGGTTTTTATTGGGCCCTTTCAAAAAAATTCCCATTTAAAAAAAGGGGTTAGGGCCCCAAACTACCACACCAAAAATCAAGTAACCCCCGCAGAAGCTCTAATGAAATTCCCTGGATCAACATCCCCTTTCAAATAAATATTTCCTGTACAACCCTCCACAATAATCCACCACCGCCTTCATTTTTTACACTTGCGTGTGTGTGTGTGTATGTGTCCCTGCTCCCCATCTATGCATACTCAAGTTAAAATTAAATAAAGTAATGACAACATAGTAACTGAGGCAGCATACCTCACTTTAGAGCATACTAAAGTTACTAGACCGATAGTAAGCAGAACCTTGGGCTCCTCTGAGCATACTTCCTGTAGGTAAGAGAGGAGGAGAGAAAAAATAATTATATTATAAAATAAATATATTTATATAAATATATATTTATATATTTATATATATTAAAAAGAGAGAGAGGGGAGAGAGAGAGAGAGAGCCATGAGGTTTACCATAAGTATGGTAGCAGTGAAACAATGGACGCTTGTCCATCCAATCACCTTCGCACATCATTGACATATTTAGGACTTTGAGGCGTCCCCAGTAGTTTAATTTTACTGGCTCTATGTTGGCCGTAAATGATTTTTGAATCTGTTCCATTACCCAGGTAGCCGCCCCGTTTTATATCCTCTGCCTCCTCAGAACTATTTTCTTTTTACCTTCTTTCTTTGCTTGTTTTGGTATCTCCACGTGCCCTGGTTTGGCACCCGCAGACAATGGAAGACCTTGAAGTGAACATTATGTAATACAAACACACACACCACACACACCAAGTGTAGTGGGATGCCTAGATCCCCAATCCTCCCTTCTCCTTTTTCTGAAAAATTATTATCCTCCTCTCTTCCTCAACCCCCATATTCCTTCAGTGACCCCTTTAATAAAATGTTTCATGCTGAAGGGCCCTTTAACCCAGTAAGAAAACCTTTCCTTTTACGGGCATCGAGGTAGGCTTTTCCCGTACAAGCCCGAATATCATTCGGATCTAGGAGTCTTCAATTCATAAGAACAGAAGTGCGCATCAGTAGGCCTATTGGCCCATGCTAATCGGGACCTGCTTTCAGCATTTTTTTTTTTAAGCTACGCAGTTCTTTAGATCTTATGGCGCATTAGAAACTCACCAATAAACTGGATGGCCTTGGGGAAGAAGGAAGCCAGGTTCTGACTCCAGTGGTCTGCGATAGGAATCTGCATGTATTTGTAACTCCCACACTCTTCGAACACATTGGGCAAGTTGGGAGTCACGTTGATGATATACTGTAAGAGAGAGAAAAATAGGTGGTTAATGTGGGATCAAACACTGAGGCAGGTGGTTAATGTGGGATATTGTGGGACCACTGTTTAGTCACTGCTACACTGAATGTAGGTAGGGTGACCCGACAAAGAGTTAAACACTTTCACTGTCACTCATTCAGTCATGATGCCACCAGAAGCGCGCAGACATTATACTTCAGATGTCCCTCCAAACTGCAATATCCCCAGTGCTTGCACTGTCAAGGAGTACAGGCACTGTACTCCCCACTTCCAGGACTCGAGTGCGGCTAATTGGTTTCCCTAAATCCCTTCATAACTGTAATTTTGCTCACGCTCCAAAAGCACATAAAGTCACACCACTCCTATCTAACACACGCAAGCCTGTGGGATGCCCAAGTCCCTACCACTAAAAACCTCCTTTACTCCCTCCCTCCAACCTTTCCCAAGACGATACCTACATCATCTCCCCAGATTTATACGCCCTACACGTCATCCCATTTTGCTTCATCCTCTCTGAATATCAAAACTACCTCAACTACTCTACCTCCTCAGCATTCTGAGTAAGGCTTTTGGTAACTGCAATTCTTCCTACTCTCCAAACTCCGAGTTCTCTGCACAATATTTGCACCACACATTACCCTCTCTACTGGCTCGAGCCTCTTCGTTGCAATGTTCAAAACCCATGCTTCACACCCCTTTTTTTTCCTCCATGGACAAAACACACATACGCCTAATATGTATGAGAGAGAGAAAGAGAGAGAGAGAGAGAGAAAGAGAGAGAGAGAGAAAGGAGGGAGGGAGAGAGAAAGGAGGGAGGGAGGGAGAGAGAGAAAGGAGGGAGGGAGAGAGAGAGAGAAAGGAGGGAGGGAGAGAGAGAGAAAGGAGGGAGGGAGGAAGGGAGAGGGTCTGAAACTGAATTAATACCTCGCTGATAAACGTCGAGACATCGAGGTCAGGTTATTCATAAATGAGCCAACAGTACCCTTCAGCACGGGCCCAGCAGTGAGCCCTCATCAGTGATGGCCTAGCAATTGAGTATAATCTAAACACCTGAGTAAGCCTGTCTCGCGTGGGTTCAACTCACACACCCCAACCATTTACCCTTTGCGAATCTGATTTCGTAAATCCTTTGAGAGAGAGCCATAAGTAGTCACAGTGAAGTTTGCTCTACACCTGCCTTTACTGCTAGGCATGGGCCAACACAAGCCACGTTAATGAGAGAGGCATTCGAGGGAGTGAGGAGGAGGATGAAGGGCGAGTAGCAGAGTGAAGCAAGCATGACCACTGCACACGCAGGCAAATCAATGAAAACGTGCAACTCACCCGACGCCATCAATGAATGAATGGACGAGGCGAACACACGTCCACCTTGAATGAACAAGCGAGTCTCGACCCCACCTTCAAGCCACCGGGGGGTGGGGGGGGGGGGTAGTGAACGTCAGAGGTAGCACCCAGCAGCACCCCAGGCAGGGTGCTGGCAACGCTTCCCCCGCCCCTCACAACCCTCCTACACCCTCACACGAGCCTCACAACACTGCCACAACCCTAACAGGACCCCCACACGAGCCTCGAAACACTGCCACAGTCCCACACCCCTAACAAGACCCCCACAACACTGCCACACACCCCTCATAACACTACCACACCCCACATCATCCACCTCCTACTTTCCACCATCTTGGAGATTCATCTCCAGGCTAAGGGACTGATTACCTCAAACTCCACCCCGCATCCCTCACAACATTCACAGGAAACATTATAAATCATCCTATGAATCAAAATCATCCTACAGCATCATCCTATAGACTCAACCGCCGTCATATGATTTAATGATAACCTACAATAAATGAATGAAGGGGGGCAGGAGTAATGAATAATGCAAAAGGATGGGGGACGTACACTACACATACATGGACGTCCACACACCGTACATTCACAGATAACAGAGTGAGAGAGAGGGTGTGAGATGGAGGGATAAGGGAGATGTTAGAAGGATGAGAGAGAGAGAGAGAGAGAGAGAGAGAGAGAGAGAGCACAGCAGAAAGCAAGTAGATAAGAATTAAGACAATATAGAAGAAGAGACTAGAGGGAAGAGTGAGAGAGTACCTCCCTCCTTTCCCCCTTTAGTAAGCAAGTTTCCCCCCCTGACTCCCAAACATCTAGGACAAGCATCTTGACCACTGACTAGCCCAAAAAATCCGCCAAGGTGGGGCAGCCCCTACCTCCCCACACCTACACCCCTTCCTCCCCACCCTTCCACCTCCCTCTTCTCCCCCCCACACACACCCCAGATCCAACCCCACAGCGTCACCCCTATCACCCACAGCACTATCACGACCTCTAAAAATCCCCACAGCACAGCAGTAGCACCCCTACCTCCACCCACAGCACAGCAGTAGCACCCTACCTCCACCCACAACACAGCAGTAGCACCCCTACCTCCACCCACAGCACAGCAGTAGCACCCCTACCTCCACCCACAGCACAGCAGTAGCACCCCTACCTCCACCCACAGCACAGCAGTAGCACCCCTGCCTCCACCCACAGCACAGCAGTAGCACCCCTACCTCCACCCACAGCACAGCAGTAGCACCCCTACCTCTACCCACAGCACAGCAGTAGCACCCCTACCTCCACCCACAGCACAGCAGTAGCACCCCTACCTCCACCCACAGCACAGCCGTAGCATCCCTACCTCCACCCCAGCAAGCAGTAGCACCCCTACCTCCACCCTAGAACAGCAGTAGCACCCCTACCTCCACCCTAGAACAGCAGTAGCACCCCTCACCTCCACCCAGAACAGCAGTAACACCCCCACCTCCACCCCAGAACAGCAGTAGCACCACTGCCTCTACCCCAGCACAGCAGTAACACCCCTACCCCCAGCAAAGCAGTAGCACCCCTCACCTCCACCCCAGAACAGCAGTAACACCCCTACCTCCACCACAGCACAGCAGTAGCACCCTACCTCTACCCCAGCACAGCAGTAGCACCCCTACCTCCACCCACAGCACAGCAGTAGCACCCCTACTCCACCAGCACAGCCGTACACCTACCTCCACCCTAGAACAGCAGTAGCACCCCTCACCTCCACCCCAGAACAGCAGTAACACCCCCACCTCCACCCCAGAACAGCAGTAGCACCACTGCCTCTACCCCAGCACAGCAGTAACACCCCTACCCCCAGCAAAGCAGTAGCACCCCTAACCCCTACCCCAGTACAGCAGTTGCACCCCCAGCATCCCCCACCTGGGGGACGTGGCTTCCCCAAGGTAAGAGTGTACCAACATCCGTGAGGCAGACAGACGTATCCCCCACCTCTCCTGCTCTGCCACCACCACAACTACAACAACAACCACCATCACCTCCACCAATACTACAACAACCATCACTGCTAGCAGTAGCACCACCAAATCCTTTTTTGAGCGAATGCAAAGCGCCTTAAATATAACACACACACACACACACACACACACACACACACACACACACACACACACACACACACACACACACAACACTACCATAACCGGTAAGCCAGGGATGGTGAGAGAGAGAGAGAGAGAGAGAGAGAGAGAGAGAGAGAGAGAGAGAGAGAGAGAGAGAGGGGGGGAGAGGGAGATACTGAATGGAGTATGAATGAAAAATTAACCCTTAAGAGGGTGAGGGGGGTCCACTAGGTGTAGTGTTGGGGGTGAGGGGGTCCACTAGTGTAGTGTTGGGGGTGAGGGGGGTCCATAGGTGTAGTGTTGGGGGTGAGGGAGTCCACTAGGTGTAGTGTTGGGGGTGAGGGAGTCCACTAGTGTAGTGTTGGGGGTGAGGGAGTTGTAGTGTTGGGGGTGAGGGAGTCCACTAGTGTAGTGTTGGGGGTGAGGAGTCCACTAGTGTAGTGTTGGGGTGAGGGAGTCCAAGTAGGTGGGCGTGTGGGGCGTGAGGTGAGAGACCACTAGTGTAGTGTTGGGGGTGAGGGAGTCCATTAGTGTAGTGTTGGGGGTGAGGGAGTCCACTAGTGTAGTGTTGGGGGTGAGGGAGTCCAATAGGTGTCGTGTTGGGGGTGAGGGAGACCACTAGTGTATTGTTGGGGGTGAGGGAGTCCACTAGTGTAGTGTTGGGGGTGAGGGAGTCCATTAGTGTAGTGTTGGGGTGAGGGAATCCACTAGTGTAGTGTTGGGGGTGAGGGAGTCCACTAGTGTAGTGTTGGGGGTGAGGGAGTCCACTAGTGTAGTGTTGGGGGTGAGGGAGTCCACTAGTGTAGTGTTGGGGGTGAGGGAGTCCACTAGTGTAGTGTTGGGGGTGAGGGAGTCCAATAGGTGTCTGTTGGGGGTGAGGGAGACCACTAGTGTAGTGTTGGGGGTGAGGGAGTCCAATAGGTGTGGTATGGGGGTGAGGGAGTCCACTAGTGTGGTGTTGGGGGTGAAGGAGTCCACTAGTGTAGTGTTGGGGGTAGGGAGTCCACTAGGTGTGGTGTTGGGGCTGAGGGAGTCCACTAGGTGTGGTGTGGGGGTGAGGGAGTCCATTAGGTGTGATGCTGTGGGGTGAGGGAGCCATTAGATGTGATGCTGGGGGTGAGGGAGTCCACTAGGTGTGGTTTTGGGGGGTCCACGAGGTGTGGTTGGGGATGAGGTAGTACCACTAGTGTGGTGTTGGGGGTGAGGGAGTCCACTGGGTCAGGTGTTGGGGATGAGGGAGTCCAGTAGGTGTGGTGTTGGGGATGAGGGAGTCCACTGGATCAGGTGTTGGGGATGAGGGAGTCCACTAGGTGTGGTGTTGGGGATGAGGGAGTCCACTGGGTCAGGTGTTGGGGATGAGGGAGTCCACTAGGTGAGGTGTTGGGAGTGAGTCCACTAGGTGTGGTGTTGGGGTGAGGGAGTCCACTAGGTGTGGCGCTGGGGTGAGGGAGTCCACTGGGTGTGGTGCTAGGGTGAAGGAGTCCGCTAGGTGTGGTGTTGGGGGTGAGGGAGTCCACTAGGTTTATGCTGGGGGTGAGGGAGTCCACTAGGTGT